CCAAGTGCACCATCCCGTGCAGTGGCTTGGAATCTGATCGGAGAGGATTGCGGCAACTAATCAAGCACAGAAGGAGTTTGGACGCAAGGACTGAGTGCAGGAAACGCAGAGGCATCCATCCCCTTCAGCCAACTGACAAGGAGGGAATTTCTCATAACCCAGCGGGGAGTTGCTCCTTCCTCCCCAATTCCTGGAATGTGCCCCCCCTCACCCAGGACTAGCTCCAAAATTGCATTTGCCAAAGCAAAAAGAACTGCACTGGTTGCAGGGAGAAAGGGAGGCTGCTCTGCAGCCCTGGGGCCAACCCCAACCTCCGAACCCATTCCTGAGGCTGGACTTAGCACCCCAGGTGTGTCTGGAGAGCGTCCAGTAGCCTCAGCTCTGCACCGTAAGTGGCACAGGGTGTGTGCACTAGCACATCACACTAAATCACCGCAGAGATGACCAACGGTAGGTTGCTTGTGTACCTGAAAGACAGTCAAGTTCTCCGTGGGTTTCCCGATTCCCTTTGGTCCTCCACCCCTCTTCTCAGAGGACTGCCTGGCTGTCTTGCCTCCTCTCCCGGGAGCATCTGCGACCCCTTTTTCTCATGCCACTGCTTTTTTGCAGCAAGGGAGAAAAGTACAAGTTGTATGACAGCATGGAGTTTGGACTGCTGGTTGTCAAAACACAGGCTTCCTTTTTAAGCAAAGTGTCTGATAGGCCTACCCAGGCTTATGACTTATGTCATATACATATGTTTCTATATATATATTGATATTTCCCAGTCAAAACCCCCTAAGAGCCCTGTCAAAATACCCAGTTTAAAAGGACTTTTGCTCCCATAAATGCAGCAGCTTGCTCTCTTCCCCTTTCCTGAACACCTTGAATCTCAGGAAAGAGTGGAAAAATGTGAGGACAATGAGAATACTCCGGTCCACTCCAAAAAACTAAAGGGTCCTGTCACAAAGCAGATGATCTACTGGCCATCCCTTTTGCAAGCAAAGATCATTTACGGCTTTGTCTCCCTTTGACAGTTTGTGGGATTCAAATCTGGGAAGAAACTTCCCGATTCCAGTGCAGCCATTAATTAATGCAAGACTTTCTCATTTCTTTGTTTTAGTTTCACAGATTATAAAATACGGAAATCCATATCATAAGATTGCTGCAAAGATTACTGGAGTAAATTGCTGCATAAGATTTGCAGAAACTATTTTAAAGACGACTATAGCCGGTCTGGCTCACCGCTTAGGTTTTAACCATTGTACCATGCTTCCCACAATGGTAGTTTAGGGCACGATCCTATGTGTATTTAACAGGAAGAAGTCTTACAACTCCCACAACTTGGCTGGATGGGGAATGCAGGTAGTTTTAAGACTTTTTTCGGACAAGATGCATAGGATTGTGCCCTGAAAGTCAGATTAGGACATGGAGCAGCTGCATGCAAAGACATGAAGATCACTGACTAACATCCAGAGTAGAATCACATTTTTCACCATCAAACTTTAAAGTCCTCCCATGTGAAACTCCAAGTGTCACTTCCCAGCTGAGGCCTTCCAATATTTCAGATACAAGTGAGAGCAGGTCCCAATATTCACTGAACTAAAGCTGCTGAGTTTCACTGCTAGCGCTTCTTCATAAACCATGCCAACCTAGGTGACTAAACATAATGGGCTGTAAGAGTTCACCCATGAAGTCCTGAGTATACTTTATCACCGAGCATTTCAAGACCGTGCCGCTCAAAGCTAGAGTCCACCGAAATGCTGAGAACTGCAGCCAAGCAAGAAGTCAGCCTGGGCGGCAAGCAAAATTAATTCACCACGTTCACCTTCAAAACAGGGATGCACACCAAACTTCCAAAACCTGACACAGCTAAGCAAATGCAACCCACCAACCACAGACTGTAACTTTGCAGGAACTTCTTACTTCCCCCTTAGCTGCAGTCCCAGGCAAAAATAGGTGCACAAAGCCAGTGGGCTCTCTTTCATACATCCTGAGCAATAGTCAGTGACAACTCACAGGGAACACAAAGCAGGCTTGTGCCTCAGTTGCCACCTGGAACTAGAGAAATAACACTTTGAGAAGACAATTAAAAGCAATTTTTCATTCAGATTCCATATGAGATTTAGTTTACTCTTCATTCAGACCATTCACTTAGGGTTAAACTTTCCGTACATGCCTAAAATACTTTAAAACTAGATTCTGCACAAATTTCACTTCCTTCCAAGTAGCATACTTCTTCAGCCTCCCACGTAAAACATATGCACAGTTAACAGTTGGCTACTAGAAAGGATAGAAGCACATACATACGGATTTAACTGTGTGTTTGGCAGTTCAGTCCAGCCCAGGTGCAAAAGTAAAACTCCAAATACAAGCTGGAAGCATCACTGGGACATGGTGGGGGACAGATTAACTTTGGAGGTAAGGAGAGAGGCATAAATCTGCCCTGCAGATCTATGCAACAGTTAAGATTTTATGTACACTAATGTGCATTATACAGATCAATGTTGGTGTTAAGCACAATTAACTGAAACGCCATATGGATGCACATACGTGTGTACACAGCCCGACCACCTAACACATCCATACCATCCTCACAATGAAAAAGTTGCCCAGCTCTGTGTGTTTCCTAAACGCATATTTGATTTATATTGTGAATGAAATGAATTCAAGTGCCACAACTTACAAACCTAAGTAGAAGACTATGAGCAAAGTGGCAAATTAACTTTTGCGGGTTTAATTGAAGGGCTACCATACAGGAAAAGAAAACAACTAGTCAGAAAAATTTTGTTGGAAAAGCAGATGGATACAATTTCAGGAGGCATGTATTGCTATACACACCCATTAGAAATCGGGGCATGAAAGTTACCACCCCACAAAGACTTTTAAAAGCTCCCCTACCCACAAATATCTGTTAAAATTTGTAGTTCCCCCTTAAAGAGCAAACCCTTTTGCCAGTACTTGGTGTACCACAGGAAACCAGAAGAATAGTATTTTCAAGCGTGCTTTGCATAAGCTGAAAACAAAAAGATCCTTGGCCACATGGCACAATCTCAGGATTGTGCTTTGCAAATTTTCAGCTTAAGCAGATCCCATCAAGTGTTATACTCCTGATATAACACTCAGGAGTTAACTCATGTTAGAAAAAGATCTCAGAGTACAAGAGCAGATGGCTATATTTTGATCCTGGGAACATGAGTTCTTCCTTTTTCACTAGAAACGGGACTTCAAAGAAGTTGAATTAGAAGTTCCTTCTAAGTCACACACCAGTCAGCAGTAAAATGCCTCTGAACAGTATGTTCGTCAACGTGGTAGTCATGCTATAAAAACATCTTCGCTCTGGCACGTCTCCCTCCTTAAGTCTAAAGTATTTTTCCTCTTGATCCCAAGCAACAGGTGACCCCAGCCTTGGGGCAGATGTTTTCCAGTTACGATACTTGTAGGGCAACAGCACTGCGGGGTAGATTCAGTTGAGGATCTTTGACAGGCCCCACAGCCACCTGAGAACGTCATGGAAGCAAGTCCCGTGAGCTCCCAAAGCCCAACCCGCTAACCACTGCGCCACACTGCCTCTCACAACGCGCCTGCCAGGTCGATCAGGCTGAGAATCCACGACCAGCCCCAGACGCCTCGGCACAGCTCGAAATCACCCCGGGGCGAGAACCGCCATCCGCCGGGGCAGCCCCGGCCCGCCGACCCAGGAGCCCCTCTCCCTTCCACGACGCCCCGGCCAGGTAGGCGCGGCGGGCGGTCCGTGCCTGGCCGCCGAGCGGTTGGCTGCCCGCCGTGCGCTCGCTGGAGCAGGCGGGATATAAGTCTCGCGCGCAGAAAAGGGCGCCCGTGAGCGCCACGGGGTCGGGAGCCCCGGCCCGGCCGCCCGCCCGCCACGACGCCCCGGCCAGGTAGGAGCGGCGCCAGCCTCCCGCGCAGCCCGAGGGCGAGCCGCCCCGCCGGGCCTCCCGCCTCACCTGAGGCGCCGCCGGGCAGCGCCGTGCCCGCGTCCGGCAGCCCCGCGTCCATGGCGCCGCTCCCCTCAGCCGCGTCATGTGAGGCGACGGCGGCGGCGGCGGCGGGGGCCTGCCCGGCGCCCTCCCCTTCCTCTCGGCGCCGCCCGCCTCCTTCCCCTCGCGCCAGGCCGGGCCGGGCCGGGCCGGGCCGGGCCGCGGCGGCCTCGTGCCCGCTGCTCTGGGGGCGGCCCGCGGCCCTGTCCGCGGCTCCGCAGCAGGACCCGCCTGCGCCGGGCCCCGTGGCGCGCGGCGGGACAGCGCCGTGCTCCGGGCCGCTGCTGTTTTCCTCTTCCCGCTGCATCCCCCTTTCCTCGCGTGCCGTGCCTCTTTCGCTGGCGCACGTAAAGGCGGCCTTATTGTACTGATGGATCCTAGTGCGTGCCACGAGCTGGCTGGCTGGCTGGCTGGCTTACCTCCCTGCCTGCCTCCTTCCTTCCTTCCTTCCTTCCTTCCTCTTGGCCGAGGAGTAAGATGAAAATGCTTTAAAGAAATAAATTGCACCATCAGAATTCCCCACCTCCCTAAAGACCACGTTGACTTTCAAGCATGCTTCTTGTCTTTGCTGCCTTTCAGACTTCATGTCTTGAGGCTTTGGTGTGATGTGTAAACTGGCAGACGTGCCTTGCTGGGTTTACTCCTGTGTGTTGCCATCCAATCTTTTTAAAATGTACTGTATATCCAGGGGATGCTCAAGCAATCTGGAATAAATACTGTGTTGTATCATTAGATCTGATAAGCTGATAAAAATAAGAATCTTTAGGTGTCATGTCATCATTCTCCACTAGAAAATTACTTCTCCATAGGCGGGCTGGCAAACTAATGAAACGGAGTGGCAAGGGAAGATAAGCAGAGAACTGATGGCTGTGTCATTCCTCATTAACTTCCCTTATCTCACTCCACATTTTTGTCCGCTCTTCTACTCTTGAAATTCACACTATAACATGGTTGTCATTTTTACTTTATTTTTTCTAAAGCTCCATATGCATTGCCTGGAGAAGAAAACCAACAGCCACGCTGAAGCAATCCCTTTATTAAAGCCAACCAAAAAATCCATAAAATTATGTAAACGTGTGAGTTTACATAACATTTCATCAGGCTAGATGATACACAGCCTGATGAAGTGTTCTGAAGAATTTGAAAGCTTGCACATTTTTGTAGAAATTTCATTGGCCGTAAAGAAGGTCAGCTGGGAATACGTGCAGGAAGATGCTTTTAACCAAGTTCAGTTATTGGCCCACCTGCCAAGCAGCTCTGTAGAATTTCAGCTGGCTCTTCCTAGCCCTTCTGCATCCAGCACATGTACCCTCCAACCCTTCCCTTTTACTTTTCTAGTGCTGAAGAAATGTGGCATCACCATCTTATTCCACGCTTCCCACAGGCAGCAGCTGCCACAAGAAACCTCACTTATGGCGTGGCAATATGGCTCTCTGGGCAGTTAACGAAACATAATATCAACATATGCAATAAAACAGTACGATTAAATCTACATAAATATGAAGCAATACAATAACAATAGTAGCACACAATAAAAACCTCGCAATAAAACCCCCATGGCAGCCACAATTCAGATTAATTCAAAGGGAGAGTAGCATTAAAATACAATAAATACCAGATAAAGAAGCATAGAACATGCATAGCCTTTGTTACCCAGAACATCTGCATATGGAACACAGACACCCCCCCCATATAAAAATAAGTAATACGCTTATATAGACCAATGGCCTGGGCATGCATGTTTGGACTGGGAACTCTGGGATCTGATGGGCTTCGTCTGCATAATAATAATAAACACAGGACTGCACCCAAACGTTTTTGTTTCAACATCTTTAGCCACTTTGGCCGGACTACTAGTCCAGCAAGCCCAGAAGTAGGGAATTCATTCATCATATTCCTTCCTGCCCTGTCCTTCACCTGTACTGCTGACAGAAGAAACTTTGCATGAGTTGGAAAGAATGGATGTTTGGGGGCAAATCCTCGTTTTGATTCTTCCACTATCTTTTGTGGGATGAAGGAACGCCAAGACAACCTCAGCCTCCATGTGCCCTTCTTCCTTTAATAGGATGCCCATCGTCCTCCTAGTTTGTGGGGTGATGGGCAGCCAGACAGGGTAACATCGGAAACGTTAAATGGGCAGAATCGAGGACCAGTATTTGCAAGCATCTTAGATCTAATTTTTAAAATTACTGAAAAACATTGCCCAGGTATGCAGAAGGTTGATAATTAACTCCTCCAGCCCTATTAGAAAGAATGTTATCTCTGAATGACCACGACAAAGATCAATATTGGCTGGATCAATTTTCTCTGGCATGCTAATAAACTTACTGTAAAACATTGGACATGTGCATGACTTAGTAGTCCCTGAATCACAAGGGCTTCTGGGAGCAGATGTCACAGACATTTGCAGATCTACTTTCTGCCCCCTCCTGATTTCTAAAATATAGAATTGCTACCAGATTCTCAGCGGAGTCTGAATAATGTTGTGGTTTATAAAGCACTTTGCTGAGAGAGTTTCAAAGTTCCAGAATGCCAGGGAATACAGTTCCCGGAATGCTTGGCCATTGGTCTTGCTGGCTGAAGCTTCTAGTAGTCCCAAAGTCTGGAAGGCACCTAAACCATCCGCTAATCCTGATCCTCTCCCATAGAACGCAGGCAGAGCCGCTTGACTGCTTGCGCAGACTGCCAGGGATAAGCATCCTTGATGGCCCTCTTTTACTGGAGCCTGAGGCCAAGATTGTCCACAATATTGTGTTCCCCATCATCCTGTCTGGGTGTGAATGCTGGACAGTGAAGGAAACCGATGAGAAGACAAGGGGTGTGATCCGGGTGCCAGGAAGAGCTTTGTGGATACTGATAGAAAGATGAACAAGTGGACTCCAGATCAAATCAGGCCAGGACATGCCCTGGAAGCAACAATGAGGAACTGAAGCTGTCCAACTTTGCACACCTCGTGAGAAGGCAAGGCTCAGTGGGGGTAACAATCATGCTAGGGGCATAAAGGGCCAAAAAAGACGAGGAACACCAGCCGTCAGACAGATTGAGTCCCTAAAGGAGGCCACCACCGTGAGTTTGCAAGAGCTAGAACACATGAAAAGCCATGCTGGATCCGATCCCAGCTTCATCCAGTCCTGCACGCCTTGCACGAGGCAGCGAGCCGGCTCCACAGGATCCCTCCAGCAGGACAGGCGCTAGGCCTCCTCCTCCGGGGGAGAAGGAAGCACACAGTCCACAAGGACGGCTCAACGGGACCGTCAAGGGCAGGAGACCTCGGGGGCTTTCTGTTCCTCCCGTCACCATAAAGCAAGCCATTTGAAGCAAAACCTTAGAAAGTTTAAAATGATGTTAACACACGCGACAGCGGTAAACTTTATTTCTTTCTAAAGGGGCAGCTATGCTAGTTGTGTAAGTCTTGTGGCAATGTAAGGTCTAAAAATGCAACCCTGTGCATGATTAGGAAGGGGAAAAAAGGCTCACCACGCCAGCATGTCCCAGCCAGCTATATCAACATATGCATAAGATGGCACTTTAAAGGCTTATTTAGCAGTTTTTAAAAACTGTTTTGATATTTGTAGCAGTGTTGGTATTTTATTGAGCATATTTCTGATACACAGATTAGGGTGTTTAGGAAGATGAATAATGAGGCTGCAGTTAACAAAGCAGAAATAAACGACAAGTCCTTAAAGATGCAATCTTGCACCTCTGGAGACAGAAAAATTCTCCAAATCTGACTAAATCTGCATAAGATATGCCCTCCCACCCCTTGAGATCGGCAACAGATGCCCTTCTCCGGGAACCCTCCGTGAATATTAGGAGGGTGAGTACCCGGAGGAGGGCCTTCTCTGCAGTGGTGCCCCACCTATGGAATGTGCTCCCCAGAGAGGTCCACCTGGCACCATCGTTATTTGTCTTTTGGCACCAGGCTAAGACCTTTTTATTTAAAACTTATTTTAATTCTTAACTTAGTATGTATTTATAGGATTTTACATTTTTAAGCCAAGATGTTACCGGGCTTTTTAATCTTTAATTATATAAATTGTTATTTATATGTTTTAATGATGTTGTGAGCCGCCCAGAGGCTTTGTTGCAATGGGGGTGGCATAGAAATGTTTTAAATAAAATAAATAAATAAATAAAGATTGTGCCTACAGAACTTGGTAGAAGCTGAAAGACTTGCACATTTATTCTGGCCTAAACTGTCATGAACACTCTTTAAGGCGACACAGCTGTTTTTTTTAAATGCAGGCAATAATCCCATGCATGCTACCCAGAGCAATTTACTCCGTATAGGCTTGCCCTAATGAAACTACTTTCAGCTGTGAGGATGACGTCATCCACTCACCTTCCGTCCTCGAATCACGGACACTCCCCTTCCACTTTTTTTTTTTTTTTTTTGCAGAGGATCACGTGAGCAGTACAACGCTGATGTAGCGGTGCTCGGTGGGTTATACCATTCCTTGATGGTGACATAAACCAGGTGTTTCCTGAAAGGAATCAACAGTATATTTCGATAAAATATTTCGTGATGTTTAGACAAACTTTGCCTATTTTTATTATTACACTTGCTGTAATGTATGTGTGCAAGAGATGCGTTTGGATCCTCTCCCCTCTGATAACGTTACTATAGTCCATGTTGGTGTTAAGCCGTACCGCTGGACGATTCTATTTTGGCCATTTTGAACGGGGGACCTACAGTCAGGTAATCCTAGGATTACCTTTTCTTTTCCACTAGGTGTGTGTGTATGCGTTTAAATAAATATGTATTCAGACACTGAAATAAAAAATCTAAAAGTTGATATTGTTTATTAAAAAGCACGCTAAATAAATACCATAACTATTCTCCCCCTTTCAGACCCTGAGATGACTGATCCGAGCACCATCTAAGGGCGGTTTCCGGAAGTACGCCTCCATGTTGGACTAGCCCACATAAGTTCGTTAAAGGGGACGCTTATAGACTGAAACTGTCGCATTGAAATAAACTAATCGCAGAGAAAGTGCAAGAAAAATAAAGATGACGAAATATATCGCTAGTCCTATGCAATTCCCTATAAGGTTCTAGTTTAGGATATCTCCCCTTTCCGATAACATTGGTATAATCCAAGCTTACTGTACAGTTTACGAGTAGACGATTCCATTTTGCTCTCGTTAAAGGGGTGGAGGCAATCCAGCCTTCCTCTACGATTTCCTTTCAATTTCTACCACTATAATTGCTCCATGTATGCATTCGGGCAGTTGAGGAGAACGAACTCAAACCATCGTTCTTTTTTAGGGGAAGAAAGGGAATTGATTCCTCCCCCCCGCCAGGTTTGGTTTCCGCCAGCCTCGCGAGGCTTCCCGTGGCCTCTCGCGCACATGGCCGGCAATAGGGAGCCTGCCCGTGCGCGCGTGCGCCCTTTTCCCCTCCCCCTCCCTCCAGGCCGAGCGTCCCTCCGTGCGCGTGTGTGAGGCGAGCGGGAAGGCCGCGCAGCCCCTCGACGCCCGTTTCCCATGCAGGAGACCGAGGAGAGCCTGGCGGCGGCCGCGGACAGCGCCGCCGGGGCCGAAGCGGAGAAGTCCGGAGGCGGCGGCGGCGAGGACTCGGAGGCCGACCAGCCGGATGGGCCTTCCGCGGAGGAGCCTGAGGGAAAGCAGGCCGAGCCGGAGCCCCCCCAGGAGCCCGAGAAAGACGGCGGCGGGAAGAAGGACGCCGACAGCGGCGAGGCGGCGGCGGCGGCCGAGGAGCCCGAAGAGCAGCCGCCGCCTTCGCCGCCGCCGCTCGCCGCCGTGACGAAGCCGCCCTCTCCTCAGCAGGAGGAGCCGCCTTCGCCGCCGCCTTCGCCGCCGCCGCCCCCGGTCGCCGCGCCCGCCGCGGAGGAGCCTCCCGCCCGGGAGGGGTCTCCCGTCGCCGCCGCCGCCGCGGAGGAGCCGGGGAGCCCCGCGGAGAGGCTTGAGGAGGAGCAGGGGGAGTCTGCGGGGAGCGAGCGGGAGGAGGCGGACGCGGGCGAGAAGTCGCCCCCGCAGCAGCAGCAGCAGCAGCCGACGCCCGAGGACGCGGTGCCGGAGGAAGAGATCTCCTTCAGCGACCCCGAGGACTTCGTGGACGACATCGACGAGGACGGTGGGTGGCGCGGGGCCCGGCCCGGCCCCCCTTCCGGGGCGACACGTGTTGCTGGAGAGCGCCGGCGGGGCGGGGAGGAGAGTGACGGAAGGGCAGCGCGGGGGGTGCGAGGCCATCAGAAGAGCCCGGCCGCGCGGGCCGCTCGTTCCGCCGCTCGCTGGGACAGCGCTGCTCCGCCCCGTCGTCGGGCCCCTCTGAATGCCTGGCAGAAGCTGAAACCCTGCAATACAGTGTGATGAAACATCCCGCGGAGCTGCTGCCTTAAAGGCATTGGTGGAAGCAATCCTGAGCGACTTTAGACAGGAGAAAAGATTGCACCTACCAATATGCTCCAGCCTGGGAGTTGCAGCCCCTTTTCCTGTTTAAACTGGCATGTAGTCTGACCCAGGGATGATAAGCAACCCTCGCCTTCTGTATGAGGGTGAGCATCTACACCTGTCACCACTAGACTTACCCATGCTGGCTGTGGCTTATGGGAGCTGTTTCGACAACACCTGTTTGCCTACCTCGGGTGCAGCATCCTACTTTCAGTGGTGGTTAGCTGTGTTTGGGGTATTCACTAGCATATTGCCTTGAATAGGGAGCTTCTGTAGACCAACAAAATTGTAGGACTAGCCTTGCAGGAGGAGGCAGAAGGCCTCTCTGATCCAGCATTGTGTCTCCAGTAGCAGTTGGACATAAGCCTCCAATGGTGCCAGAGTGCAGAGGTGAATTTCATTCCTGATAGTTGTCATTGAGATTTGCACTGCCTTTGTGAGGTTCCATCTAAAGCAGCCATGTTACTAAGCCATTCAGTTACTAGCCTAGACAAAATTTTATGAGCCTGTTTTTGTTTTTGTTTTATCCTTATGAAGGGAGTTTATGAGTAAAAGGCAGCTACATAAAATGTTTTGTGGGTAGCAGTTGACAAAGAAGCAGTCTTGTGTTGTCTTGTGTTGCTTCTTTCCTAGTTTCCAGAGAAAGAAGTTCTCTGGACCTCCTTTTTCAGGCCTGCTAATTCACTGGAAGGCAATCTTATGAACTTGCCTGTATGGAATTCTTGGGTGTCAGTGATGAACAGGCGAGTGGGTAAATGCACGACCAATATAAATATAGATGACTATTTCTCCATACATTTGTCTTTTTATTGCAGTTTCACAGAACTTGCTTTCCCACCAGGTAAAGTTATACCTTCATTGGTCATCTATCACATATTGATTCTACTCCCCCCCCAAAAAAAACCCCCACCACAGGCTCTTAGTCTAGCTTTACAATCCTTTTACCTAAGTTTTCTAGCCTGACAGAGAAGAAGGAAAGTGACTTTTTAAAAACCTGATCATACTTTTGTTGTCATTGAGTGTTTAAAAGGTTTTGCTAGTGTATATGATATATGACATAATTTAATAAACCAGAAAGGGTAGATTTCAGTTATTTCTATAATGCTGTCAGAGTACCTGGTGCCTTACAGACTCCAAGAGGGCAAGTCCTTGTCCTGATACTCAACATAAACTTTGCTATAAGAAGCAGTGAAGTGGAGGCAGGGTAGAGGAAAAGCAATATGCTGCTGTTGGTTACATATTGTTTCAGTGAAATCAATAAGTATTATTATTGGAGTTAATAATCACCACGATAATGATGCTAGTAGCATGTTTCATGAACATACACAGGGGTGAGAGAGAGCTGCTTTTTTCTTTTTCTGCATACATCTCTCTGTCTCACCAGATAGTAAGGCTGAAAGCATAAGAGTGAAGCCTGAGAGAGAATAAGCAAAGAGCACTACTGTTGCTGTAATGAGACTTAAATGCTTGGATGTAGAAGTCCTAAAATGATGATTGATGATTACTTGACCACTTTGAGTTATTCAGGGGAGAACAAAAGAAACCCAGTTATCTAGACCTTGCTTAGAAAAAACAATTGCTTCTAATTTTGTGTCTGAGTATCATCAGTTGAGTTCACTCAAATGGTAAATTTTGATATCTGGGTAATTATAATGGCTGCAGTGATAAATCCAAATATAAAAGATAGAAGAAGGATCCATCTTGTAAGTATTTTGTGATGGTGAGCACAGGTTATGTCACTGTGAACACATTAACAATTATGAAGATACGTTGGCTTAGTTTTTGGCTTAAATGCATATGTTATCCATTTATAGGCGGTTCAGTACACACCCTCCCAAAACATCTACATTTTTAAACCATAGAAGTTTTTATTTATTTATTTTTCAATTTATGTCCTGCCTTTTTCCTACAAAGGGCTCAAGGCAGCTTACATCATTCTCCTCCTCCATCTTATCCCCACAACAACAACCCTGTGAGGCAGGTTGGGCTGAGAGTCTGTGACTGGCCCAAAGTCACCCAGTTGGCTCCATGGCTGAGCGGGGACTCGAACCTGGATCGCCTGAGTCCCAGTCCCATGCTCTTAACCACGACACCACACTGGCTCTCAATAAAACATCTTGTTATAATACAAGAGCATGATTTAAATCACTATCTGTTGAAATAGTTCACAGACTGACAAGAGATCTGTATCCAATATTAACTTGTCCACCTGGATCATAGTTTTAACTTCCCGAGCCGGTATCATATGTGTGAATCAAAGATTGGAAGTCGGGGAGCTCCTACTTGTAAGGTTAACCCTACTAGGGTCAGAGTGGTACTTGAAGTGTGCTTTGTTGCTCATTCAGAGAAGTTCTTTCAGGGAAAAATTGTTACTGAATTTAAGGGTAATATACAGGTATACAGAGCCTTAGTTTATACTCCATAATTCTCTGAAAGCCCAACTTAGATTTACAGACTGACAATTTTAAAGGTTCCTGTTGGTTCCTGCCTTCACACATGCACATGGTTCACACACTAAATCAGGGCATGAAGACAGGGAATTCAGAAATCCTTTTAACCCTTACCAGGCCTGGGGCATCATACAGTACTGCTGTGCTTCTGCTAGCTCTTGCACACGTGGACACAACTGCTAGTGCAACAGGAACTAGCCCTTTCTCCTTGAGTTAAGCTGATCTGCCCCATTCCAGAAATGGATGTTTCTGCTAGTTTCTGTGCACTTACTGCATGGTATTTTAGTTCCCTGTGAGCACCCGGCATGTGCTTAAATAAAAACCTACTTTTTCTGGCCCATCATTATCACCTGCTTCACACATAACAATAAACCACTGTTTAATTAACTATACTTTGTTAAATTGTGGGTTGGTACGTAGTAATGTGGATATATGTACTGTTAACCATACACAACTAATGAAGAAAACCCATGGCTTTTTAGGTTGTGAAACATGGGTTGCTTAAACCATAGGTTGTAACTATGTGTGACTCATGGGTGGTTTTGCTAGGGTAGTAGAGTTGCTATATTAGGGGTAGGATAAGTACCTGCTTACCTGATCACAGTTATTCCAAAGAAGGAAACTTCCATGATACTAATTAAAAATTAGTCCTTTCCTGTGCCTCATAGAATACGTTGCTGTGTCTGTTTGCACTTTGTGAGGCCTTTGATTTTCTTAATTTGAAAATGTTCCCTTTTTTAAATTATGCTTTAAAGAAAATGATGCCTATTTTTGATTCAGATACTTCAGAGGTATATGACTGCAGGAACATTGTCATCTTGTAGTTTCGAAGTGACTAAAGCAACCCTATAGGTATCCCCAGTTTATGATAGAATACATGTTCCGCCCACCTCTCTTTCTAACTGGTGTATTATGGTATAATAGATTGGAAGCCTCTCATTTGACCATGTTCCTTTATATCTCTGGATAAGAAATATCTTTAATATATTTGGCTGCCATGTGTGTTCTGGAATTTGGTTACTCAGAGGATGCTGAGAGACTGCTAATTTGAGCTCAGTTGTTTGTGCTTTCTGAAATGCAGCTGTATGCTTCATGGCATCATTTTTCAGCTAATATGAATGCAAAAGGTGGATGTCCAAATGCAGTTTTAAACTGGACACTTATAGTATTGAATGGATATGAAGTACAGCAATAAACCGTATTAATGATACCTAGTTTAAAGCCATTATTGTATAAATCAGCATGGTAGAATATTTTGTTGGCTTTTTGTACATACAGTAATCCACATTGTAGGGAGATATCAAGAGAACCAGGCTTGATAATTATTTTTTTGCTGTCACCCAAAAGGAGAATATTATAGATGGAGTAAGTGAACTTAGAGAACTAGACTACTGGACTGGCAGAAAATAACACATGTTTGGACTTAAGTTCCTGGCATTCCTAGCCATTGCCCATGCTGGCATGGGGTTCTTAGCACTGAAGTGTAAAACATCTGGATAGCAAACTTCTGCCCACTACTGAATGAGTGGATGCAAGAGTTGTCTCAATTTGATACGTAATTAAACTAAATACCTCTTTGAAAGCAAGGAAAACTGGTTAAGCTGCCATAATTAAAGGGTTTGACTCTGCTGTTTGTTCTAATTATAATGATGCTACAGTATTCGATGTGTTCGGTTCAGTTCAGTTGATGTGCCTGAATGATTTTTAAAGGTATTTTTGTAGTGGTACACAGCGTAGTGGCAAACCCTGTAGTGCTGTCCTTAGGCTCCATTGGTCTTTTATCAGAAGGTAGAGAGCTGACATTGTAAGGCAAACAGTGAAAGATAGAGCATCTGAGCAGTATGGTAGCGTCCATTTTTGGCTTTAAAGGGTTGGAACAGGCCTAAAGGAAAGGCAGGTAGGCGCCGTGCTAAACAGAATTGCTTGCTCCTTGGTGGTTTATCTAAAGGGAACTACCACTGGATTGTAAATGTGAGGGAAGTGCACAGCTATTCTAAATAATTTTTAGTGTGCATAGGGGCAATGATTGCGAGCCAGTTATGTTGCGAGCTAGGGGACATTATTTAGAAACGTGTATATTAAATTTACTAACCTTTATATTAAATTAATATGCTCAGTATTGATTGTAGGCTAAAGGTATAAATTAGTTTTCTTTATATTACCATAGGAATTTAATCCAATGCTTTTTTCCTGCCAGCAGATAGTCAATCCAAACTAACACTGTTAGTAGATTTTATCTTTTCAGTACAGTTGTGTGATGTGGCTGTCTCCCTACTTCAGCACTGTATATTCAATTTCTCCTTACCTTACTCTCCACAGAATTACTTGAAGATATTTTGCAAGAGCGTCCACAGGAAGCAGATGGAATTGATTCAGTGATTGTGGTGGATAATGTTCCGCAGGTTGGACCAGATCGTCTTGAAAAACTGAAGAATGTTATCAACAAGATTTTCTCAAAATTTGGAAAGATCACCAATGAATATTACCCAGAATCTGATGGACAGACTAAAGGGTGAGTGCATAGGCATAGGTCTGTAATTTTTGACTGTCATTGTTAGGCATGCAAGAAAAGGTGATTGCCAGGTTCTTCCACCTTGCAATAAAACTCCGCACTTCACAGTCTTTCCAGTGGGAAGATACAGGTGAGAACAGTGCCAATGGTGCTGGCATGGGCAAACCTATCCGATGCCAGCCCTCTCTGCTGGAATGGCAGCTGGCTTTGGTGATCTGGATAGAGGTACTCAAGGAATCACTAACTAGCAGTGACCAAGGAAGCTCTCTGGCAGCCTGTCCTGTGGGAAAACGCTTGGGTAAAGCGATGCCTTGGGCCCTCAGAGGCAAGGTGTGGTGCATCCAAGCAACTAGGCACTGTGGAGGGAGTGGGGATTCCTGCCTGCTGTCCCTTTTCCCAGTTAATCTCTGGTGTCAAATTTGGGAAGAAGCCTGGTTATTTATCGCACCAAGCAGAGCTCTCACACTGGCAACTGAAGATGTCAAGACTTGTGTTGTAAGGATGAGGAAACCATGAGTTTCTCTTGGCAAATGGGACTAAAAATGAAAAATGCACGTGGCATAAATTGCAGACCTTCACAGATTCTATCAAATGCACATGATAACTACACATAGATAGATATTCTTTGCAGCTGGGGCTATTAGAAAGAGTGAGTTATCTGATGCACAAAAATAGTAAATACCTATTTTCAGGGAACTACCAGCAGGTGAAAAATCAGGCTGGCCCCATCATGACCAGCATCAGTAGAATTTGCTTCCTCTTCCTTCCCATCTGTGACATGCTGAAATGCCAGCTAAAACTTGTGTCCGTTTTATCTTTCTCGGACAGGTCTCCCATTTGTCCCATGCGTTTTCCTTTACATGTCTAGTCTCTTGCACTGATGACACATTACATGCATGTGCGGCAAGCATGTGCACTCTGTTGCTTCTTAGCTGTTGCCATTGTTCTCTGATACAATGCAGACTGGAAAGTATGCCTTGTTCCTGCTCTTGAAATGGCACTTGCAGCTTGTGAGGGAGGGAGGCTACTCACCAAGAGCCTTGCCAGTTGCAGACCCAACTCCTGCCTGCTGCACAGTGTCCCATGGCATTTGCTCAGCTATATAAACAAGGCTGGAAGCTGCCTGGGCTGTTACATTATATTAAACAATATCCAGCTGAAGTAGATTTTGCGCAGTTCAGAGCATGTGTACTGTCACTGAATACATTACCTCTTTGGACAATATGATACCCAATGGCGGTGCCACCAGCTAATCAGCCCATTGCATTGTACTACAGGTATATTTTCCTCGAGTACAGTTCTCCAACTCATGCTTTGGATGCCATAAAAAGTGCAGATGGTTACAAGCTGGACAAGCAGCACACTTTCAGGGTCAACCTTTTCACTGACTTTGACAAGTGAGTACAGTTACGGGCACATATTTCCCTGAAAGAGAAGTGTGCAAGTTTTAAAAATGTATAACCAACATAATCGCTGTTTCAGATACATGACAATCAGTGATGAGTGGGAAATTCCAGAAAAGCAGCCATTTAAAGACTTGGTGAGTGTTCAAATGCATGTATGAAACATGTTCATTAAAGGCCTCCTCCCACACAATACAGACTTGTAGCGGCACAGGGGGAGGTGATGCCCTAGCGTCCTCTCTTAGTGCGCTGCGAAGTCCTAGTGTTACGGAGGTATTGCCATGGGAAAAGCTTGGAGTGATGTGAATGGCAGGCTGGGCAGGGCCTGAAGGTATTTGCTAGAATTCGAGCTGCCTGGTTTTTTCTCCTTTTTTAAGGGAGTTGCCAAGACATTTATAAATATAACAGCAAGATGCTAAAGAATACATAGCATTGAAGCTTATAAGAATGCAAAACTCTTGCAAGTGTTGTAAAGAATTCAGATATATAATGCATCCATGTCATGGTGAATACCTAAAATGTGTACATCAACAAACACAAGTGAATTTGGTGAATCATGGTATTCACTAATAAATTCTGGAGAGTTTGGCCACTCAAGCATTTTTCTGCACTTTCAGGTGTGAAATTCGGCTTTCCCCAGATTTCAAAAATTCACTGGGCAAACCCAGCAGTGATTCTTACATATGTTTGGCTCTGGACGGAGATATGGATAATATGGAAGGGAGAAAGGTTACTATCTAGCAGAATTGTCTTTGTTCCATAACTACATTCTCATTCTGCATTTTGTTCACTTTTCTAGGGGAATTTGCGCTACTGGTTGGAAGATGCAGATTGCAGAGATCAGTACAGTGTGATATTTGAATCTGGAGATAGGACCACTATTTACTGGAATGATGTTAAGGATCCTGTCACAATTGAGGAGAGAGCTGTGAGTGCCTGTGGGAAATTTCTCCGTGCTGATAATAGTTTGAGTTCACTGATGGTTTAAAGAAGAAATAAAAATACGCAACGTGCTTGGCGATGCATTTTGCTGCCATATGGTTCAAGGAATGTAGCTGTTCGGAGTGCATCCATATATGACATCAGGAAACTTTCTGTCAGTGGCAGTGTGCCTCAAGCTCACATATTCAGGGGATGCAGAACTTCAGAATGCCATGTGCCACAAAGAGGGTTTGCATATGCTGAGAGATTGGTTAAAGTTAGGCCTTGTTTACCCACCAGAGTAAGGGACTCAGCTTTCTTTTGTGGGACAAGGATGAGTATTACATACATTGCTGTGTGTGAAAAGGAGCTCCACTTCAGTTTCTGGATTATCTTTATCAGAAAATAATTGTTTTTACTTGATTTATACCCTCCCATTAATCAAGAACGCTTCTGGGCAGGCTGCAGTATACCATGGTCTGTGATTTTGTGCCTTGGAGCATGGCCCCCGTAGCTGATACTGTGTAACAAGTCAGCAGGCTGTGGGGGCTCACTTGGCATCCTAAAGTGGATTAAACTGTAATAACCTGCTTGGGACAAGGCTGGCAGTTCCACATGCTGAACTTCATCTGGGTGCCCTTCTGTCAAGGGCTTTAAGACTTCTGAGCCCTATGCAGAGTTCCCTAAGCACATATTTTATACACACAGACTCGAACGTGATGTGATCCAACTAATACATGCTATGTACATTCTTCCCCCTGCAGCGATGGACAGAAACCTATGTGCGCTGGTCTCCAAAGGGTACCTACCTGGCTACATTCCACCAGAGGGGCATTGCGTTGTGGGGTGGAGAGAAATTCAAGCAGATTCAGAGGTTCAGCCACCAGGGGGTGCAACTCATTGACTTCTCACCTTGTGAAAGGTATTCTGAGAAAACACCTGGCAGTCGTGCTTCAGAGAGTACATACATGTGGTCTACAGTTAAATGCCTAGTTTACCGAGTTAGTAGAGCTATTTTATATCACCCTTCAGACTTATTCCCATAGTAGTTTACAAGAAATAATAAAGTGCTTTAATATAAATAGCAACAAAACAGCAAAATGGAAAGCTGCAGGATTGGAGAATGCAGTACAGAGCAGCCAACAAGGTTACATTTGTATCTAAGAAGCATGGGTAAATAAACCGCCTTTTCCTGGCACCAGGAAGACAAAGTATTGGGTGACCCATCATGGGGAGGGCATTCTCCCACTGCAGTGCTGCTGGTGAAAAGGCCCATGTTCTGTTGTCACTGTTGTATTTCAGGCAGGAGCCCCCTCCCCCCCGCCCATGTGTGCTCACACTGAACATACTAATTTGTAGGTAGGAAAGTTGATTGTTATCTGTTGGTTGTGTATGTAATCCTGTTGGGAGGAGCCATTTTCATTGAGAAACAGGTCTGAACAGTTTTTTCAAAGAGGAGGAACCCTGAATTTGGATGAAGCGTATTGCAAAGTTCCTAGACATTCAGCTTGACAGGGTTTCCCGGCCACGGAATGTTAAACTGAATTGCAAAGTTGTTGTCATTCTTCCTTGTAATGGAAATATCTTGGGAGGTAACAGGGACTTCTTGTGTAATGGAGCAGAAATGGTTGTGGGTGTATCTCCTTGTAAAGGTTTCTAGGAATTGTGCTGCTTCCTTGGGTTGCAACTCCAGTTATCCTAGTCTGTTGGTCATGGAGACTGGGACTGATGGGAGACCAGCAGTATCTGGTGGGCCACAGCTTTCTGAGTTGGGCTTGCAGGAAACTCATCTAACTTGGCTTCTATCACAGTAGGGGAGGGGGTCTTCTGCCTCTGCCTGCATATTGTCTTCCAGTCAGGCAAGGACTATATGTAGGTCTTTTGCTTCCCTATTCCACCTTTGCGTGCACCCCCTCTCCGTTTCGAGCTATTAGGCTGCCTGGTGATTCTGTCCTGCAGGTAACGCAAACCATTTGGGCCTTCTAGGAACACCCCCACCCCATTTCTGGTTCTTGAGATGCTTCCTGATACCTTTCCTGCCTGAAAGCAGAACCCTCCAAATGCCGTAGTTTAGATTGTGCTGCTCCTGCAACAGTTCACCTGTATTAATTCCTCCCCACTCCATCTAATCTCCTGCCCCTCCCTCAGTTGTCCTTTCGGTTCCTTTGGTCTCCCAGCTTGAGAATCTATCTGCAGTTGTGGTGACTTTGAGTGAGAATGTGTCAGTTTGTGCTGAGACTCTATTTTTTCTGTAGAGTCTTTAGACATTTAGTTTAGCTAGAGACAAGGAAACGACTTCTGTTTGTTAAGGGATCGAAGCTGTCAGCAGCGTCTCCAGAAGAGTATTCTTCATGGAGCCTCCTGGCTCAAAATGAGTGTGTTATGAATGCAGCTGTTCTAAAGAAAAGGGATAAGACAGGATAGAAGGTGATATTTTCCAGGGCTGTGCCATTTGTTCATTTCTCTGTCCTCTAACGCTTGCTCTTTCAGCATTGTGTACTTTCCAAGGCACAGCGTGGAGCTAATGTTTTGGAGCACTGCCTGAGAGGTTTTAAATAGCTGTGATGAGGCTGGCCAGTGTCTTGTTAATTTAATGTTACTTGGCCAAGTTGTGTGTTGTCTGTCTAGAAAACCCTAAGTCATGCTGACAACAAGAATATATCTTGGCTGTTGGAAGCAATCCCCTGCAGGCTTCAGTATGGTACAAATAATGAACTGTGTCTGGTAAAACACAAAACTTTACCTTTTGGTTGTAAAATCTGCTTCATTCTGGGAAACTGTGAGTCTCCTGATAGAGATAAACTGCTACTCCCATCATTCATGACGATTGGTCAGTGTGGTTGGGTCTGATGGGAATTGCAGTCCAACATCTGGCAGGCCACGGATTTCTCATCCCTTTAAACAAACTTTACAACTCCTTTTACAAGAGAATCGCTGTTGTTGTGTTTCTTTGTGAAGGTATCTGGTGACGTTCAGTCCTCTTATGGATACACAGGATGACCCACAAGCGATCATTATTTGGGATATCCTAACTGGACAGAAGAAGCGAGGATTCCACTGTGAAAGTTCAGCCCACTGGCCCATTTTTAAGTAGGTTGGAGTGGTGGAGGAAAAATTACTTTAAAGTGAAACAGAGAACAAGTTATGCTAAAGAAAAACAAATCTGATTTCTTGAAACCCTTTTTGCTTAGGTGGAGTCATGACGGTAAATTCTTTGCTCGAATGACATCAGACACACTTAGCATCTATGAAACGCCGGTAAGTCTGTGCTGTTCCTATGTTCTGTTTCTGTGAAATGCCAGCTCAGGACCAAAATGTGTCCAAAAAGTGTGCTAATGGGGATGGAAGTGCACGTTCCTTTAGGCTAGTGTGGGTTTCAGACATGAAAAACTTGAAAGGGGCATTATGAAAGGGGCATTATGGGAGAATCTGCTGTATGTATGTGCTCAGCCCTTCCTTTGCCCACATATTGTCCCTTGTGATCCCACCCTGAAAACATTTCAGCCCTATTTCTGCCGTTGCTGAGGAAATTGCCTGGGAAACTCTACATTTCCCCTCCGTCAGGTCTCCCCATTCACCACCGTTACTGATCTAAGGGAAATGGGGATCCAAGAGGCACAGTGTTGACCTTGAAGCATGTGGCTCTTTTTCAAATTGAGGTTGTAGCATTCTTGGGTTTCCCGTTCTTTGCTTTAGTATTTATACCTCGTCCAACAGTGCCACTTAAAGCAGAAACGATGACAGCTGACAGATGGCAACCTGCTTCCCTTGCCATTAATGCTGTACATGTAGGCAGTTCTTACTCCACCATAAGTGTGGATGTCTGTTGAAGACTGCCCTTTTTATGTGTGTCCAGTAAACTTTAGTACCTGTTTTGCACAACCCTTTGGGATGCTCTTTTGAGAAAGAAGTAGCTTACAACCTTTGATATTAAATAGATTATAATTTTTGAACTATTCGTTTGTGTTAAAGTGTGTTCTAATTTGCAATTTGCAAAATTATTTTGATACCTTCTTTTTCTAGTCAATGGGTCTGTTGGATAAGAAAAGCTTGAAAATTTCAGGGATCAAGTGAGTATGCTTTTCCTGTAGCTCTTAGTCCACTAGATGATGCCTTTAGGTATCTTGAGACATCATCCTAAGCATTACATTCCCTGTCCTTTTCTATCCTCTGAGAAATAGATGTCTGTGTGTGTTTTGCATATCTTAAAACTACTAAATCACTGCATCCTGCTTTTGCTTCTCATCCTTCAGAGATTTTTCCTGGTCTCCAGGTGGCAACATAATTGCCTTTTGGGTGCCTGAAGACAAAGATATCCCAGCAAGGGTAACCTTAATGCAGCTGCCCTCCCGGCAGGAGATCAGAGTACGGAATCTCTTCAATGTGGTGGACTGCAAGCTACACTGGCAAAAGAATGGAGATTATCTGTGTGTGAAAGTAGACAGGACCCCCAAGGGTACACAGGTACTTCGCTCTTGAACATACCCATGCTGTTGCCCGATGATCTGAGCACCTCAGCTTTCATCGAGTCAAAGCTGGGAAACACTATTTTTCCTGCTGCTGGGCGTCCTCGGGGTTATCACATCCAGAAGGGCGCTGCCATCCATCCATAGGAGCTCTGTGCACCTACTGGTGCGAGCTTCATGCTTGCTCTCTTCTCCCTCCTTGATGTAACTGATACTTGTTACATTTGATCTAGGTTCTGTTTTTTTCTGTGGACTGTGGAGGGTCCTCCAAAGAAGGCCAATTCCTGTATTGCAGAAAACCTTTTCAATAAACAACATTAAAGAAATGAAAACATTTTTGGAACAACTACTGATCAGATTAAAGAAAGCACAGCTTCTACCATTTATTTAATTGCAAATATGAATCACTCAATTGTAGCTGTAAAACCTCCCAAAGAGGCTATGACTTGTGATTACAATTAGAGGGGTTGATACCCAAAGTGAACACAATCCACCAGCAAGAACTTGGCGTTATGCTCAGGCATTTGGGAGTGGAGTTGTGTGGCCACCTCATTTCCCCAGTCCTTGGATGTTAAGTGGCTCTTGCGGGCAGGCGATTTTTCAGAGCTCATGCCCTGCACACCCCACATCACTTGGAGTTGAGATGCCCTCTCTCAGCCCCCTCTGCGACTTGTATGTTTAACAGTTGTCCTACCTGTCGTGCAGTTCACTGGAATTCTTTGCTGATTGGTCCTTTTTTCAGTAGCAGCACAGAAATAACAATGGCTCATCTTACAAGGGGTGCAATTCTAGGCCCCTGGACACGCAAAATGCACATAGCAACAGAAATAGTTCAGCTTCACGTTAAATACTCTTCCTCTGAAATCCTATTCTGGTTGGATCACATGCTAGTGATTTTTTCCCCCAGGGTGTAGTGACCAACTTCGAAATCTTCCGGATGAAAGAGAAGCAGGTTCCAGTTGATGTGGTAGAAATGAAAGGTAAAAGGTTCATTTCACAGATTTCCATCATAATAAAGCAAGGTTTCTTTACCTATTATCGCCTCCCATGAATTACGTTGATGCTGCATATATTTTTGGTTAGTGTTTATAGCAAATTAAATGCATCAGAAATGAAACACTTCAAAATATAGTAAGGCTTAACTCAGCTTCTTATAGGAAGCATTATGATTTTTTTTTACTACAAATGGACATATATTTAAGGATGGATGATACTAGGTTCTTTGTAGTTGAATCTGAGAGCTTTATTGCTTTGGGTGGTGTGTTTTTCAAATTATATTTTGTATCAGCTGCGATGGAATGCAGGGTGTAGTTATGTGCCAGTCTGACATGCATTGTTTTTTGATCATGTGCCTCCAGACTGCACCCCAGATTATGCCTGTCTGATGTGAACACATGCATTAGCAAGCGTTTCACTTCACAAAGCCTTTGACTTTCCTGGGCAACATCAATCTGTTGTTTGAAACAGGTTTCTAGGACCAACAAGCATTTCCAATAGCAAATAGATTTTCTCCCGCAAATGTCACCAAGCTGATCAAAGTCTTTCTTTTCTTGCAGAAAGCATCATAGCCTTTGCTTGGGAGCCAAATGGAAGCAAGTTTGCTGTGCTGCACGGAGAGTCCCCACGGATCTCTTGTTCTTTCTACCACGTGAAGAACAATGGGAAGATAGAGCTCATTAGTAAGTGGCGCTTGGTGCCAATTAAATGAGTTGTCTGAACACTTCTTAAAGGAAGCCCCAAGTGCAAAATGAAGCCACAGCCAAAACAATTTCTAAACACTGAGCACACTTGTTTGGCTTTTTAAAATCTCTAGTGATTTTCTGTTTGTTTCCAGGCACAGTTTAAAGTGCCAACCCTTGCCTGTAGAGCCCCAAATATTATGGGGCCCAAGATATCTGAAGGACTACCTGCAAACCCTCTGGTTCATCATGGCTGAAACACAAGATAGCAGAATCTTTGATATGACAATGCCTCTGCATATTCAAAAGTTTCTTTGACAGTGAGAAAGCCTCTTAAAGTGCTTCATTTAGAAGATAATGACTTGTCTTCATTAGGGTTTCTTCGAGTTCTCTCATTGAATCTTTGGAAAGAAAAGTGTGAAAATAAGCTTAAATCATGGAACTCAGTCAATCCGATTGCATATTGTCTAAAAATGCTCTTTAAATTCTGAGTGTTTGATACTAAGGCCCATTATACAAACAAGGTTGGCTTGCCTTTCTGCCCTTCATTTTAAAAGTCAGAAAGCAGCATGAATGGAGGCATGAAGAGGGCCTTGTTAACTTTCTTACTGCAGTGCATTAACGTCAGACAGTAAGGTTTTTAAGTCAGCTTCATGTTTTTACATTTTATTTCAGAAATCTTTGACAAGCAGCAGGCAAACACGATATTCTGGAGTCCTCAAGGGCAGTTTGTGGTATTGGCTGGTCTCAGGAGGTGTGTATGACATCTTTGCAAGCTGAGGACATTTCGGTTGCAAAACAAAACTGTACTTGTATTTGTATTTGTGGTATTTTCCTACTCTGTAATAATCAGTGTAGAATGAATTGCTAGCCAGGCATATTGTGGATGATGAAGCTAAGTTCAAAAAGTGCGTATTTGTGTTTCTTTCACTAGAAAAGCTCAAGGCAAGGTGAATTTCAAGCTAAGTCACTTTCACCAGGAGCACAGTGAGGCTTAAATTTCAAGCTTTGGTGGAAATATTCTGATCAGACTTCTCCAGTGTGGCTTGAGACAAACTCCAGTGAGGTAGCCACACTAAGCTGCCGCAGCAAAAACCCATCTCCGACCCTTCAGTGGTGTTAGTTTGCAAGGTGCTGCAGAACATTTGCTCCTTGAAACAGTTTTGTCGAGCTTAATTTCTCCGTAAGGCGCAGAGATCAGAAAGTCGCTATAAAAATAGAAGCGCTGCCCATACGGCATAAGATTTCCTAAAGGCAGTTTTTCCGAGGCAGCTTTTTAACATGGTGATGAGACTTTGCCCCCTCACTCACCTTTCAAAGAATCCTTGATCAGGCTGCTTGGATTTCAAAAGGCAGGGGGTGCTACTTACTTCTTGCCTGTTTCTCCGCGCAGTATGAATGGTGCCTTAGCATTTGTGGATACATCTGACTGCACCATGATGAACATTGCTGAGCACTACACAGCCTCAGATGTGGAATGGGACCCAACAGGCCGCTATGTGATGACCTCTGTGTCCTGGTGGAGCCACAAGGTACGAGGAGGTCCTCTGGGTTCTTGCTCTCCACCCTGAGTCTTGAGAGGGTCGGAGCACAACCCTGAGTGTAGCTCAGCAGGGAAAAGCATTTCAAAATTCCCAGCCAGCTGCGCCTGCACTGGCTTGGGAATGCTGGGAGGTGCAGTACTTTTTGCTACCTCATATGCATAGTCTGGTTGCATTAATTTTAGTTGGATAGCTTTGATGTTTAAGTATCCTCGTGATTAACGTTAATGCTCATTGCTTCTCTTGAGCATTTTTACGTGTGAGCCCCCCAGTGTGCCAGTAGAGTTGGTTTAGCCTGGAAAAATGTTGAATAAATCAGGTGGGGGCTCTTTGAATGTAACTCAGATCTTTATACTAAATATATGCCACATATAAGTAACGCTTAATACATGTTGTGGTCTTAAGAAAATGGTTGGCGTTCAGAAATCATTTCACCTCAGCAGGGCGGAGCGGTGCTTTAGCTTTCCGAGTCTGTGAAATGAGTTGCTAGGCCGGGTTGCTGCCAAAGGTGGCATCGTGCATGAGAATCCTGACCAAACTGTCTGTCTAGGTGGACAACGCCTACTGGCTGTGGACTTTCCAGGGTCGCCTTCTCCAGAAGAATAACAAAGACCGGTTCTGCCAGTTGCTTTGGAGACCCAGGCCGCCCACTTTACTCACACAGGATCAAATAAAGGTGTTGTAGCTCCTTGCCGTGTGTGGCTTGGTGAAGCTTTTTTCAGATTCGCATTAGAGTAAGGCTCAGTCATGGGGAAATAGCTCTGGTACTTTGGAAATAGCATTGAAGAAGCAGAGTTGAAGCACCCCCTCAATATCCGCCGTGCCTGCTTTAAATCGTCGGGTAGCAAATGATGGGGAAAGCCTCTTCCTGGGACCCCGAAGGGCCTCTGTCAGTCAGAGAAGACAATCCTGGCCCAGGCGGATGACCGGGCACGAGGCAGCTTGCATGTCCATAAATTTGCAGTTTTACTGCACAAGCCAAGCTTGGTTTCTTTCAAACCTGATGATGAACTAAATTAGTCACTGTTCCTTCCTTGATTACACTAGAAGCTTGATATGGTTTGATCCTGCCCTGTGCAGCCTCTAAATCCCTTGCCAGTCACTTCCATGGCCACTGGTAATAAAAGCAGTGAGGAATCTTTTCCAGTGGAAAAGGGAGGGTGGTTGATTGTCTGCTCTTCTGATGCTTGGTTACTGAAGCAAGGATTACAAATCATGCACAAATGCCAGTATCTAATCCAAGCCCTGTGCTGGTAAAATGCTTAGCAAAGTCCTATGCTTTTTCATTTAAAAAAAAAAATTTCTGGTGCACTCCACTTCAATCACTGAAAAATTTAAATTGAGCAAATCACACATCTCAAAGTTTGAATGATTCCTGTAATAGTGTAGAATATTTGAAAGCCACCTGTAATTAATGTAACTTTTGGGAAAGAGATGAATGTGACATGTTGGTTTATCTGCTTTTCTTCATTACAGCAAATCAAGAAAGATCTGAAAAAATACTCCAAAATATTTGAACAGAAGGATCGCCTAAGCCAGTCTAAAGCCTCAAAGGTAAAGTTTGTTTCTAGTGCATGAATGAAAGTTTGCTTGGAACAGTGGCAGTATCTCGTTGATAGTCCTACCCCTGTCAGCTTTTAATCCTCCTAGTATTTCTGTTTGAGTTTAGATTCCTATTTCTACTTTTAGAACTCTTGGACTTTACTCTGTATAGCGAATTCTGTGGAAGCAAGTCTCACTGGATTCCATGGAAATACTGGATGCATAAGTGGTTTGTTTAGGTTCATAGCCCTGGAAGATGCAGCTGCTTTCAGATAATCATTGATGGGAAAGTTTCTAGATGGAAGGTATTAATAACAGTCTCTCTTTTTCTCTTCAGGAACTGGTAGATAGAAGGAGAACAATGATGGAGGAGTTCAAGAAATACCGTAAGATGGCCCAGGAGTTGTACATGGAACAAAGGAACGAGCGGTTGGAGCTCCGAGGAGGTAAGTTGTACAAGCACGCAGGTAATCCCATGTGTGCTAACCTGAGAAGAAAGAGGCATTGATTGTAGTAGGACTTACTTTTGAGTAAAAAGGAAAAATACACAGAGATGGGTGCCTTCTCTTCCCTTCTCTATTTTGGAGGACTTTCTCAACTTCCTTGCCTGCCTTCAAATCATCCAGCATCTTTTCTCTCTTTCCAGGAGTGGACACAGATGAGTTGGACAGCAACGTAGACGACTGGGAGGAGGAGACAGTTGAATTTTTTATCAATGAAGAAATTATTACAGTTGCAGAGCCAGAGTAATAGGAAGGCCCCTTGGTAAAGTATCTTTGCCTTGTGTTGCCAGTGAGAGGAGGGAAGAAGCTTGTTGAAAGCTGAGCGCTGTGAGTAACTCGTGTCTTCTTCTTTTACAGCACCACCATATCTTGTACTGAGAAGGGTTTTTTCCATTTTCAGAAGGTCTATACATCTCGAATTTTTTTAAATCCATATTCTTTCTGGACGGTGAATACACAGGATCCATTCATTCTGACACATCGTAGTGCCTTCTTGTGCCCACTGCCTTTTGTGGGATCATTTGACAGGCGCTGCTTTTAAATTTTTATTCCTTTACTGGAAGAGGGTTTAGTTTAATTTTTAGAAATCTACCACCAGTATTTGCTACTTGACACTCCAGCAGTGCTCCCAACCGAGAAGCTTGAACTGTTGCCCTTCCAAGTGCAACCTTGGCATACTTTCCAGTGTCTTGTTGCAGACTGAAATGCCTCTGTTCGCTGAGGACTGTTCCTGTGTCCAGATTCTACAGATGGGTGTCAGCGAGAGAGCAGTTCCCCAGGTGATGTGCTTTAGTTTGCTAAAGCTGCATTACAATGGACTTTGCCCTCCTCCGTTCAGATTGTGACAGGATCTCTCCACTGGTTGAGCATTGGAAATAAAGGAGACCTACATGCTTAACAAAGAATCCTTGTTTGTGTTATCTGAGGCTTTTGTATTTTGAAATGTGTTCCTCTGGCATCTGTCCGTGGCAAGACCCTCTTGCTCTCTGCCAATTAATTCTGCCTTCATCCCACTTCATGTCCTGCTGCCTTCGTGCTGGACATAGAGAAGATGTGTGTGTGGGGGGGGGGGG